CATTCATACTTTGTGTAACAGATTAAATTTAAATGAAGTAGGTGCCTGAGAGAGTTGTGAGCTCTCCTTGTTAAAGACTGAAACCTTGAGGAAAAACTCCTAAGGGGTGACTCTCATCCATGGGGTACAGAAGCTGACATCGCTAACCCCTTCCAAGCTGTGGGTTTCTGGAAAGTGAAATGACGAGATTAAATTGCACAGTGTAATAGGCTCTGGACAAACGGCTTACGTGGCAGGTGTGAAGATCTTTGCCTGAGTGTTCCAGTTCTGAAGCAGAGGCAAAGGAGACCGACTACCTGATGCATCAGGGATGGTACTGTAAACGAAACCTCTCACTTTTGAAGTCTTAGCTCCCATGGTCTCTCTAGCAAAGATGGAGTCCAAGATCATCATTTCCACGTGTTCCGTGTTCCTCCTGTCAACAACCCAGTTTTCTGAGTGATAATTTTCTGGTCTTGTAAACAATTTGACCGAATCTTTCTGAGTTTTTAAATAGGCAAATATTTATTCTTGGTTATTAATTTGATTGTGTATTTCTTAGAGTTTAATTAGGATGAACCCACCATCAATAATGTAGACAGAGCCTGCCTTGTTTCAAAGAGTAGACTTCTGTTAGTCACTGCAGGTACCATGAGCCTTCTGTTATCCAAGCTCTTGGGAAGTAAATAAATGGATGGTTTTTCCTATAGCACACAAGCTCTTATCAGCCTTAAGTGTCCTGCACAAACATTGTTTTTTATTTCACATTGCTATGTTGGGTTGTCTCCAAACTCTCTGTAGACCTAACGTCAAGATTTCTCAGACAGTGGTTAGTCTGTGAAGCATTTGTTTCTTAGGTTTCCTTTATGAAGCTAATTCAGTACTCAAACACGGGTGAGCATTTGGTGTCTTGGTTCCTTTTAGCCCCTTTCCACATCAACAAAACAGAACTACATGCCAAGGTAGAATCTGGAGAAAGTACTATCATCCAGTCGAAGCTGGGTTATATGATAGATTTGTCTACATCTCTTGAGTCAATTGTATCGACTGGATATTTTCCAAGTCTTGATGCAGTGTGGACCCTGGCTGAGTGACAACATTCACACAGATGGCATAAGTAACTCATAACATTTAAAAATGAACTGTTTCTTTGACGGCATCGTCGTCAGATCCGTCTTGGTAAAATGTGGTTAGAGCTGCTAGCTCAGCTTTCTCACTTACTTCAAAAAGTATTCAACGTCCGTCTCCATCTGTTATGTGATTCCAGGCTAAATCATTGTGCTCGGGGTGTGTTCTTACTTTGCAAGGCAGCGCTTTTATGGAGGTGTTCTGTAAAAGCCTCCAGGTGTCAGCAACCTGCCCAAATGGTTCCTATTAACTCTGCTGGGAGGCGATGACATCTCAAATGTCACGGCACCTCTCCGAGCGGCTAATTGTGTTCAATTCTAAAATAGCCTCGTGTTTTGTACTATAGGCCCAGATGCCTCTGAATTAGCAAACTAACCGAAATCAACATAAAAATCTCACCAGCGTGGACCTTCTACAGTGATTTGTCTGCTTCCCGTCAAAGTAGGTAGAGCCACTTTATTTAGAAGCAGCTGGTCCCTTCAGTGTCTGTCGGTCAGTATGAAGGACTGGCTGATCTCATTAGGTCACTTCTAAAGAGCTCGTTATATGTGCTTGTGACTGCTTCCAAGCCAGACATGCAAATGAAATCATAATGTTCCAGGAGAGACGAAGTGTCTTAGTATACCTAGGCAGGTTCATAACAGCTCCCACAGAGAGCCTTGATGATTCCAGGAGTGGGGGGAGGGAGAGGAAAAGAGGGAGTAGTGGGTGGGATGGCAAAACCAGTATCCAGAAATTAACAGTCTAGGAGAAAATATAAAATAAATGAATATCGTCAAGGATGGCATTTAACATAAAGTCTCGGCACTTAGTCATAAGCCAACCTCTCAAATAGGGAAACGGATTCACCTGTGAGGTTGGTAAAATGCTGAAACGTGGCTCTGGGGAGAAGCCAGGATGATCTTGAAGTGCGTTAATTTTCTATTCATGAGGAAGAAGGTTAGGTATTTACACATTTAGACAGTTGCTTTCAGTGTTGAGTCCCAGGTTCAAAGAGGATTGACAGCTCTGTGGGCCTCCAGGAGCGGGGGAGAATCCCAGATTTTTATCACGTGATGAACAGGAAAATACTGGCATGTGCAAACGGAGCCAGGAGACCCAGAGGGAGTCCTGTTTGCTTCCCAAAGCCTGACGTTCTGTCTTGTGGAAATGGATTCCACTCATACTGGTTAACCCTAGAAACGGGCAATAAGAACGATGGACAGAAAATGTTCAGAGTGCTGGCTGCACCCGTCTGTAGTGGGGAGTCTGATCTCTGGGTGGAAATATGGCAGGAAAGGTTGCATTCAAGGTCCAGTCCGGTTCCTGAAGTTCTTTGGGTCCATGAGGGCTCATCGCCTTTGAAGAGTGTGTACTGTCCAGCTTCTTGCTTCTTTGGAGGCAGAAGAGATAATGCCCTTGGAAGGTCAATAGATTTGTTGTACTTGAGTGTAATAAAGAAAACTAGAACTTTCCATGACCAGGGTACCCTCTTTATACCTAATTAAGCTTTTATCTTAAAACCACCAGTCACCTGCTCGTCTCCACCAGCGGGGAATTTGAAATGGCATGGCTTACATTTTCAAAACACAAATTCAGAGTTGAAAAAGCCAAAACAATGATAGATATCAGTATACTTGCACTGACCCTACTCTTAAAAAATGCAAAACAAGCTGAGCTCAGAAAGCTTGGGGGACTTTGGTTCGTGCGATAGAACAGACGCGGCTGACGCTGTGCCGGCGTTCATGGAAGCAGGCCCCTGCTGCTCTGCTGACAGTGCAGCTCATCAGTCAGTAAGATGGTTTGCTGAATAATATGCAGCAAGTTTATGGATGAGTCTATCAAAGAGATGTCACCATGGTGACGGGTCAAAGATCTGTGTAGGGCACCTGATGGCCTCGTTAACAGAGGTGGCTTTTTTAACTGTGACGTCTTTGCAAGCAAACAAACTATTGTCTATTAACTTGGGTTCTTAATGAAAAAGTGTCATCGGGCTGTTAAGTATGGAATACAACATGATGAGGTGTCATCTGCCCCCTTCAAACCATGGCATACCTACATTCTGAAACGTCATTTGTGACGCTGAGAGAAGAAGACCAAGGGTTAGAAAGCCCGGAAGAGATGTTCTCCAGCCTATCCGTTTTGTTTCGAGCTTCTCTGCCCGGATCATCACTGCGCTTGGAATGATGCAGGAGACCATCTTGCTGTTCTGGAGCGCGCTCATCTTCCCCTCCGGTGTGGCCCTGTTCATGTGTATTTTTTCTAGTCAGCAGCAGAATGAATCTGCCTTGTCTTCACCTCCCATGCAGCTGTTCTAAGTTTGTTCAAGAACAAACAGGTGTTCTTGAGAGGCAGTAGAGTATAACTTCGAAGCTGACACGTTTTCTGTGCCTTCAACATGGTGGGTTGTGATTCTGTACTGTTATACTTTAAAAAACAAGCAAAAATTCTATTTCAAAATCGAGATCTTTGAACCTATGATATTCCTAGTCAAAAGGAGACTAGCTGAGAGAAGATGGCAAAACAACTCGAGCTGGCTTTCAGGTTTATTGGGGGAAGATTTTTGTGATACGGGGAAGCACAAGGTACATTATTCATGCATATGACACTTGGGGGCATGCACCAGTAATATCAAAACTTCTACAATGCCCTCAAGGAAGCAGAAGTTTCATTATTAGTATAATTCTCATTCTAATCTTGTCAACTGTCAACATCAATGAACTCACCAATGGGCTATATCCATCTTTGTCCCTCTGTCACTCAGGAAATGTCCTATGGTGCTTGCCTCAGAGTAGTTAGATGTTATATTCTTAACCACATAAGTCTGTTTTATGAAGAAGCAGGTATTTGGGATTTCTGTGCAGGAGGCAATTGGGTATGAGCCACAAACAACTCCTCCACCCTCTTTGTGCTCAGCTGTAGCTGGAGGGAACGGGGTGGAGGTTGAATGGGAGACGGTGAGCCGAGGAAATTTAGGTCAAGTTTGCTTCTCATCACCACTTCGTGATCAATGCAACTACAGCCGCTCTCCCTTCTCTCTGCTCCACAGACAGCCAGCACCATGAGCCAATGCCGCCCCCTCACCGCCTCCTGCTCCCATCAGGCCAACCAAGTGGATAAACCCAGGGGAACAGAAGGAAGATCTTTTAGGACGAGCTGTGTTCACTATCTAGAAATAGCATAACCGTGTGCAGACTGTTTTCTCGAGAAGTAGGGGGCAGAGACGGAAGCGTCCCTTCCCAGATACTCTTCCCAGCCAGTCGTAACATTGATGGTTTTCCCTCTAATGCAGCCAGTACCCTGTTTGCTCTCATGGGTCTTCAGTCAGAATCCATCTAAGCTACAGGAGACTCTCCTGCCTAGGCTTTTCATCCTTGCCTTTTTCCCAGACATACGTAGCATATGCCAGGCTGGCCTCCTATTTACTGCATCTTTATCTCAAAGGGAGAGGCACAAACCTACTCTTCTACTTCCCTCTAAAGTTTTGCTAAAGCTGAGTCATTCCATTATTTTTTTTCAAATAGTCCATTTCTAACTTAGGAGACTTTTTGTTATTGTAAAAGTAGAAATAAGGCCAGAATGGCACCACATTTGAGCTGCTCAGCATAGACCAGAAGGCGGAAGTGAGATGCCCGAAATCTGGCACACTGGAGCTCAAGGATGCTAACTTTGAGAAACGAAGTCCTGGGCATCCAGGTTTCCCATGATTCCCAGTCAACACAAACACTGGCTAATAGGGAGGGCGGGATTCATGGCCCTCATTGACCGTTCTTAAGACCTCCTTTTCCAAGTTTGAAGACCAGTTCCTCCCTGGGAGGGGCAACACTAGCTCCTGAGAACCCGGGGTGGGTGTGGTGTGTGGAGGCTCCAGTGCTCTGACCCAGGTTTTTTATTCTGTTTCTGCTCCCTTACAGATCTCTCAGCATGGCGGCTCCTCTACTTCACTTTCGTCCACAAAAGTTTGCAGCTCGATGGATGAGAATGACGGCCCTGGGGAAGGTGATACGCTCGAGAGAAAGCACAGCTTGCAGGGGGGATGGAGGAAGGGTTAGCTAAATTTACTCTGAAAACTATAATGTCTTAGAACACAATGAGTAACCAAAGTCCAGAAGCTTGTGTGTGTGTGTGGGGGGGGGAATGACCTCATGTGTGTTGTGTATGTGTGTGTCTCTGTGTGTCTGTGTGTGTGTGTTGCGGGGGGTGTCACTGGGGACAGGAGTGGGTAACTCCTACCGTCATGAGCACCCACTGTCTGAGAATGGGAAGGAGGAGTTGGCCTGAGTCCTTGCGCATCCTCTGTGGGTGTGTAATGCCTAGGAAGACCAGCTCTTGCCTGCCCTTGTACTCCCAAGCTCTAATCCCTTTTTGTAAGTGAAAAGACAACTGTGTCTTGTGTTTGAACACCTATAAGCAGGCTCCAACTTAAGGGGGTTCAATCCATCAAGCCAGAACTTTACAGGAAGAAGCCATTGACGGCGACCACTGCTTGTCACTTAAACTAATTTGCATTAGAATTTGCCTGTAATGTAAGAAAATGACATGCATTGCAGAGTTAACTGGCTGGATGGTGTGGAACGAGCCTCTTCAGTTTCTTATAGATTATTAAATGTCACCCTTCCCACCCTCCTGGGATTGTAATCAGGCTCAAATCAACGAGGGGAAATGACCTGGAAAAGTGTCAAGAGGAAGCCAGTCCTGCCACTCCTGTGCTTCACATGCTGTGACTTGGTGTTTTCCCAAATATGCACCCTTTGAGGGACTCTGGGGCGTTACGCAAGACACATGACTCTCAAGGGAATCATTTGTTTCTCACCATGGTTAGAGCAGGCATTTTTGCATTATTGAAACTGTAGTTCTGCCATCTAGAAGTCTCCTTCATTCCAGTGTGCCGTATTCACCCAATGGAATGCAATGGTCCTTCACTAAACCTAGGCTGACTCTAGGGGGACCGGAACCTTTATCAGTAGTTGGTAGAAAAATCCCAAACGTTGTATCTTGGATGGGTGTCCCAATGAGTGTTTCCACTGGAAGACAGGGACAGGTGACCCCAGCTGTAGAATCACAATTATCCCGAAGTCCACAGACAACTACTGTATTGCCCAGATACAAAGAGTCTAAGACCCTATCATCTGCCAGAAGGTTTGTAAATTCAGCTGTCCCACAGCCATTTCCTCCCCTCCTCAAGGAGAAAATGAAAATCCCCAGGGTGGGTCTTTCAGATACAGGCAAAATCCTGACTCTTTCCTGGGTGGGGCAAGGGAGGAGGATTGACTGGCTCTAGCCCTCACTTTATTCTGGGCACTGCCAAGGTAGCTTCCAGTGACCCAGGAGGGAAGTGCCATCCACAATGCGGAGGCTGTGTAGATGCGCAGGGGCATAGTAGAGGCAGCTGCTCTGCATTTCTACCTTACTGTCTAGAAAAGCCACCCCAGGTGCACAGGCCAGCACAAAGGACCTCTATGAATTTCCATCCATTCTTCCCCAGTCCCACACATAAAATGTGAGCTACAAAACTTGCCGGGAAACCACATTTACTTTGAGACTCAGTATATGAGGACAGGCTAGGAGAAGTGCACCACGAGGAAGCTCACTAGGCTCCTATGCCATTTTGCACGCAGGTTGCCCGGGAGAAAGCTGGGATTTATAACTTTAAGGCATGTACATTTTACAGCCTAGATTTAAAAGGCTTTTTATACCCTCGACATGTTAAACGTGATGCATCATATTTATGTGACCCAAGCATGGCTTATTTAATTTTACAGCCTTGGATATTTAAAGCTTTATTAGGCTTTTGTAAAATGTTTCAAAATACATTTTCAGAGGGAGACTATGTTGTGTTATTACAAAAACTGTCTGCCCACAGACATAATAGATATCAGGGTTTAAACTTGACATCTGCCATGCAGGTTGCTTGGTGAGAACATTTGTCCAAAATCTGCTCATTGATACTTAATGCACGAGGAATTTTGCAGAGATATCCATTTCAGGATGGAGTCAAGCTTGGTGTCCAAACAGCAGGACCTTTTCATGCTTGTACCATGTCAGGCTGCTCAGCGTTCCTCCAGAAATGCCTTTTCCTCTGCCCTGTACATAAAATGTCATTTCCCTGCACACAATGGGTATTCAGTGAAGGTTGTTGATGAAATGAGCATGAAGTTTGAAATGCGGGATTTCCTCCTCTGAATCCCCACTGCAGCAGAAAACATAAGCTGCAGTGATATCGCTCCAGGTGGGCCCGATAGGCTTTTTTTAATTTATCGTTTGCCTTGGTGAAGACCATTGAGTCTGTATGAGCCTGTAAGGGAGGGGGGCTTCCCACAATTACTTCTGAATTGGTTCCAGCCCGTGAGATGATGCTTAGGAGTGTATCTTTCATACAACATCTGTGGCCCCTTCCCAATCAATAAAAACACACCACTAATTCTTTCAGAAGAGTCCGAGGAAGGCTTCCAGATTCCTGCCACAATAACAGAGCGATACAAAGTTGGGAGAACAATAGGAGATGGGAATTTCGCTGTTGTCAAGGAATGCGTAGAGAGGTAAGCAGGGGGGCTGCCAGTGTGGGAACTTAAAGGAACCGCTTGGCTTTCATGGCTTCCATGGTCCAGTCTCTATTTTCAGACAGAGACACATATGGATTAAGTTAAGGTCTCAACCCCAGAGACAAAAGGAATTTAAAAAATAATAGACAAAAAGCCATCTAAAAACAGACTTTAAAAATATAACAATTCCTAGGATGCTCTCTCAGATATAAAGACTTCGATTTTTATGTAGTGTATGTTGAAAAGCTTTCCAGTTCTGTCAGGTGGTGTTTTATATTGTTTTCTTGAGAAGTTATTTTGAAGACTTCCTCATGTACAGCTTCTCAAGAATGCTCTTTTCTAGAGTTTGACCTCTAATATACACCATCATGAAATTACACACGACAATGGCCTCGAACGGTTTCAAAACGCCTGTGTGCTGAGTCTGCAAACGTGGTACTCGATCTGCAAAAGTGTCTTCAGATGATTTAACTGTACACCCTTTGGGTTTGGAGCCAAGGTCTTTGCAAGCCATCCTCAAAGTCACCATCCTCCTGCCTCTGCCTTCCGACTGTTAGGATCACAGGCATGTTCTCACGCCTGGTGTATGCCCAGGCTCTTGACTGTTCAAGGGTGCAGCTGGTGGATACCAGGTAGAGAAATGACGTTGTCGGCCAGCACAGAGTGACCTCAAAAACCTCAGCTCAGTGTCAGGCTCCGAGTTCTGTTCCCAGGCTTTGGACAACTGGCATCTTCCCGGGGCTATGCTGAGGGCATTTAGCCCATCCCTTGAGGGATCCCTCTGGTTCTCTGTGTTCCCCTGCTCTCCTTCGTTACTCCCGGGGAACTGGACAGTCCTTGAGTTCCTGGAGCCTGTAGAAGTACCTCTGCCCTGTGTCTCATCACTGCTTAGAGGGGACTCCTCAGACCAGGAGACAGATGAGGAAGCTGTAGCACAGAAGAGCCTGGGTCTGAGCCACTTAGAACTGGAGGCCTGCCTAGGGTACCACGCACCACCAGGATTTAGCTGAAACAGCATCCGCCTAGATGCTGTACCCTGGCATGCCTTTCGTTCAAGACAGCAAAGCCCCCACTAAGCAGCCCTCAACAGTTGCTCTCAGATTTCACTCCCCTCAGTAATCCAGCTGGGCTGGGATGTTCACAGCCTAGCAGCCTGCTGAGGCACTTCTTCTGCATGAGGTAGAGTCAGGAGCAACTGGTGGCCTGGAAATGTCCCCTGCTGATGCCGTCAGCTCACCTCTCTCCTCTCCCTTAGTCCCTGGTCCCCATTGATGGAACATGGCCTTCAATTGCCTGCCTGCCAGATACAGAAAACATTCCAGGACCACCTTGGCTTCCACCCTTCCTGAAACCAGACCAATCACTATTTACTAAACATCTATCCATTTGTGGCCCTTAAGTTATAGTATCTCATTGAATTGTAATGATCCAATCAGGTCAGTATTGCTGTTCCCACATTATAAAAAAATATAGATGGAAGACATTAAATATACAAGGTCAGTCATCTGCTAAACATGTAGACCACAGTTTTGCTCCCAAACACACACTTAAGTCTGTCTACCCCAGTGCTTCTAATAAAGAATTAAAAAAAAAAAAAAAAGAATTCCCCACAAGAGTCCAGTGAGGAACTTACCTATACCAAAGTCACTTTTCCAGTGCACAAGGCAGAAATTAAATAGCGAAAGGTATTCTAAGCAAGAAGTCTCTTTTTCTGGCAGATTGTCATGGCCTTTCTTGTGGGCTTTCTGATCATATGTCAACACTCAGCAGTAGATTACTGGTTGTTCTAGCTGGTCCTAGACCAGGATGGTATCTCAGTCCTAGGATCCTAGCCTTCTGATACTAGACAATTCCCACTTCTCCATATAGAATTCCCCTCTTTCCTTCCATCCTTCCTTCCTTCCTTCTTTTTTTCCTTCCTTCCTTTCTTCCTTCCTTTTTTCCCCTCCCTCCCTCCCTCCCTCCCTCCCTTCTTTCCTTCCTTCCTTCCTTCCTTCCTTCCTTCCTTCCTTCCTTCCTACTTGGGCTCACTGCATGGAACTTCAGAGTTTAAACACCAGATTGCTCCTCAAGTGTCAGCCTCCAGCTCCTGCTGAGCAAGGACATATGGCTGGTGCCCTCTCTCTCCAGAGATATTATGAAACATTCTTTTAATATTTTACAGAGATCCAGAAAATAAACACAAGCTAAGAATGTTGTGGATGGCACATACTGCTTGTGGGTGCGCTCTGCTGTGTTTGGGGGATGGATGTGTATCAACATGGGTAAAGATGTTCATCCTCTGTCATAATGTGCCACCACAGGCAATTTTTCTACAGTGGGTACAGTAACAGGGTGACATGGGTCCTCTTTTCTGTGGACCTTCTAGCATATTCTTTGCTAACGCACTACTATTTGAGTCAATGAAGGGTTTTTATTATTTTTATAAACTCTTTGAGAATCTCATACTTTGTCTTTTAATCATCCATCTCCCTATCTCCTCCCAGATCCATCATCCATTCCACACCCATCCAATGTAATCTCCTCATTTTGTTTTTAAATCCGTTGAGTCTCATTAATGTCATCTAAGACAGTAGGCATTCACTAGACCATGTTAGAGCTACCAGGAGCCATGCCCTTAAAGAAATTTAACTCTCCTCCCCGCAGCTATCAGTTACCAACAACTCCTCAGCTGGGGTGGGCTTCCTGCACTCTCCCCCCTACATGCTTGGATTTTGTCTGGCATGAGCTCATGCAAGTCTTATGAGCACTGTCTCAGCTAGTGCGCATACGTGTTTCCTTATAGACATTCACTCCCTGGCTCTTACAGACTTTCCTCCACCTCTTCCACAATGCTCCCTGACCTTTGGGAGAAAGGTGTGATATGATACGCCCTAAGGCTGAGCATCCAAAGTCATTCTCAGTATCTTGACCAGTTGTGGGTCTCAGTGCCAATCCCCTGTGGCAATAAGGGGCTTCTCAGATGAGGGTTCAGGTATGTGCTAATCTATAGGTATGATGAGAAGCCATTAGGAGTCAATGTGATACTATGTCTCATTAGCAGAATTTACTATGTCTCATTAGCAGGTTTTTTCGTAACTACTGTCTAGTCACATGTCCTTAGCCCTGATAAATGTCAGGTATGTGTTCTATCTTTTGGAGCAGTCTTAGTCCAAGAAGAAAGTGCCTACTCCATGAAATCGGAATTTCTTTTCTTGTAAAGCTTGCGCTTGGGCTCCAGCCTTAGGCCGTATTAATGGGGAGGTGACCTTACCAACTGATTGCCCTAGACAAGGAGAAGGACAGGATTCTCTGGTACTGCTGCTCTTGTGCAGCCTAGAGAGCCCGTGAAAGGACAAGAATGCAATGCAGGAACAGACGAGCGCATGGCCTGTGCTGTTATCAGCAAGCCTTAAAGCAGGTTCATTATTTTGGCTAAACTGTGCCTTGGTATTGCTACTTATGGTTTACATTTTGCATGAATACCAGCTTGGGGCTCATTTTTAAAGACTAGCTGCTTCTGTAAACCTATGTTTGTTGTAATTAAGGGTTATTATTACATGACTGCAGTTCTGCCTCTAAGAAGTCAAGAAAGAATCGTTGCGGCATTAAACTTTGTGGTCCTTTGTGGGGTGTGTGGTCTGATGTATGAGTGAATTTAGTAGGATGTGTGTTATAACATGTCCTAACTAGAGAGGTGTCATATAGTTTTTTATAAGCCCCGAGGCCACCAAACCCATCCTTGCTTCCCTCTTCCCCCAATGGTAGTCTTAGGACGGAATGTAAGATCCTGGCCTTCTGGGAGACAACCCTGTCATCAGCTCAGGGATGCCTGCCTGCATATAAACAAAAACTCCACCTTCCCAGATTCCACAGCAGCTATGGTTATGAAAGACTTCTAGCAGAGAAAGGGGGCTTCAAAGTCATTACCTTCTGGCTTTATGCCCCAGATTTAATCATAACAATATAATGTTTATTGAGTGTTTCCTGAGCTGGGGCCTGAAAGTACAGTAACAAACATTTTTTTTTTTTTAGAAATAATACATGTAACTAGTTTTTAAAATGCCCACTGTAGTAATAGGGGCGGCAGGGCTGCGTTCCCAGCACCCCGGCCGCCTGCTCGACTAGCTTATGCCCCAAAATAATTACACAGACACTGTATTCTTTTAATCACTGCTTGGCCCATTCTCTTCTAGGCTAATTCTCACATATTAATTTAACCCATTTCTAATCATCTGTGTATGGCACCCCAAGGTGTGCTTACCGGGGAGATTCTAGCCTAGTCCATCCTGGGTCGGAGCTTCATCCCAGGAGCGGGGCATGGCGTCTCTCTCTGAGGCGTCTGCTCCCGAGAGAGCTGTGGAGTCTCCGACCTCACTTCCTCTTCCTCCCAGCGTTCTGTTCTGTTTACTCCTCCCACCTATCCTCTAACCAATAAAATGGGCCAGGGCAGTGCCTTTATTAGCCAATGACCTTCCTCCATCATTTTCCCTTTTTCGGTTTAAACAAAAAAAAAGGCTTTAACGTTAACATAGCAAAATTACATATAACAAAACAGTTATCAAGTAAAAGTCACAATAATCTTTATCATAACTACGGAAAACTATAACTATAACTAACTATTCTTAACTCCATCAAAGACTCCAGAAAGATATAATATTACCTAAGTAAACAAGAACTAAGAAACTTCAAACTCTAGAAATGACAAAGACATCTCGCTGCCTGGACAGTCACCCAAAGTTCTTTTGTACCGTTGGGGCATCCATCTTCAGCCTTCAGGCCCATGCTATCCAGCAGACATTTCCATAAAGCAGGAAAATTCAAAGTCAGTTCAGTCACTATCTGTTGTGTCCTGCAGAATGTCTCGCAGACTCTTTCAAAATGAATCAGGAACCCCGAAAGATCATCTCACCTTAGGCAAGTTCAGTAGTCCTCTCTCTGCGGGTTCTCTATGTCCAGTTTATGCAATAGTCCAGGCAAGAGCAGTTTCTTGCCCAAATGGCTATCAAAACTCCATAACGAGCCTTTCGATGCCCATCTTCCTCTTGAAATAGATTGGTGCTGCCAGGAGCAGAGTGTCTCATTGTCATGAAAAGTCCTCAGTTATTAAAACATTAAATGTCCTATTCTGTAATCTTTGAAAGACATGAAGAATGTCTATCTAAAATATATCTCTATATATCTAGAAAATCTAACTAACATGACTACAAACTTGACTATTATGATTATCTATTAACTACCTATATACATTACATTTTTAAATGAACTACACAATCACAATACCTTAATCAATATCAGAAATACATATACATTTAACAAAATTGACCTTAAATCGCTATCAATAAAGCAAAATCTATACTAATGCAAATTATTCATATCTATATCATATCCCCCTTTATTTTATTTTTTTTTCATATCCCCCTTTAAATGTAAAAGAACATTTATAAACATTTTTTGGGAATTTGGGCGCAGTTATTTCTCTCCAAACTGCTTCCTGCTGAATGGGGGCGTCGTTAATTTGGTCTTTCATGGTATAACCTGTGTGCTAGTTTCATCTCAGTTGGCAGTTGAGCGAAGCAATTTTCTGAAGATGTTCACAACAACCCTTCAGGAGGGCGTGGTCCACCATATCAAATCGGAATAGAAGAAATGAACAGCGTCTCATCCTCTGTGAAAACAAAATAAGAATCTCTTTTCCAAAGTATCATATCCTTAGATACAAATTCAAAATATCTATTTTGGATTAGTTCAGCAGCATTTATAAACAAATATCTTTTAGCAGCTGTTGCTCCTTCCTCAGCATTCAAATAATTCAAAGAGAGCATAATAGCATACAGTGTCAAAATTCTCTGTCTATTTTCCATCTTTGTACAGCTTTGTTTTAACCTCTATTTCGTTTATTTTTACTTTTAACTCTTTGCTTTTTGAGACAGGTTCTCTGTATCTTTGACCTGAAGTAACTCTGTAGACCAGGCTGTCTTTGAACTCTCAGAGATCCGCCTGTCTCTGCCTCCCAGGCATTCGGGATTAAAGGTGTACACTACTACACCTTGAACTCACAGAGATCTGTTTGTCTCTGCCTTCTAGGCACTGGGATTAAAGGCGTGTGCTACCACACACAACTCTCTTCCTTTTTTTGTTTTTTACTTTAAAAACTTCAACTTTTAGTCTGCATATATTTTTAACACACTGTAAACCATTTAAAAATTTTCTTTGTCTTTGAATCTCTCTTTACTGTATATCTCTCTTTTTCTGACCACATGAGTCTTTAATTTACCAAGCAATATCAGTAGGATTAAAGGCGTGGCTTTGCCAGCTAGATCCAGTCCATTCCTTAGCTTTCCAGCCTCATGGCGGATATACAGGCTGTAGCCATGTTTACTGCAACAACTGTATGGCATTTCAAGGTCCCTGCCAGCAAGTGAGCTACAACAGACAACACTCAGGTCCTCTCTAGGTAGCCGGCCCTCCTGCCTCAAACAGTCAGAGTTTGCCCTGGCAGGATGGCCCAGAAAGCTGGCATTTTTAAACGGCGCAGCTTTTTTCCTGCTACGGCTGAAAACTGAAAAGCATGCGTTCAGCTTTTCGTCAACACCGTTTAAGTGTATCGTGGCAGGTCCTCTTAATGAGCTGCAGGGTTTTGCAGCTAAAGCTGAGTCAGGAAGCCTCTCTTAGATGAGGTGCTTGCTTGCCTCTGGCAAGCAGAGTAGACCCGAGAACACAGCGAGTCTAGTTGCCATCAAACAAATCGTAGCACTTTACTCCAAATGCTCTATTCAAAAGCTCTGTCCCCCACAGGAGCCAGACAGAGATCGCAATGGCGGCACAGCCCCAGGAAGTCGCGCTTTAAAATGACACAGCGTTTTTTCTGCTACTGTTGCCGAATCAGGAAATCTCTCTACAGCACGCCACCAACAAACAGCAAAATCTGTGTTAAACTCTCTCTCCCTTATTTTTAAGCCTTCTCAGGTTTTTTAAATGGGTTTAGTTGTCCACACGTCTGGGCGCCAACTGTAGTAATAGGGGCGGCAGGGCTGCGTTCCCAGCACCCCGGCCGCCTGCTCGACTAGCTTATGCCCCAAAATAATTACACAGACACTGTATTCTTTTAATCACTGCTTGGCCCATTCTCTTCTAGGCTAATTCTCACATATTAATTTAACCCATTTCTAATCATCTGTGTATGGCACCCCAAGGTGTGCTTACCGGGGAGATTCTAGCCTAGTCCATCCTGGGTCGGAGCTTCATCCCAGGAGCGGGGCATGGCGTCTCTCTCTGAGGCGTCTGCTCCCGAGAGAGCTGTGGAGTCTCCGACCTCACTTCCTCTTCCTCCCAGCGTTCTGTTCTGTTTACTCCTCCCACCTATCCTCTAACCAATAAAATGGGCCAGGGCAGTGCCTTTATTAGCCAATGACCTTCCTCCATCAGCCCACGAAACAGATATTTTATTACTTGGCCTCCTAGCTTGTGTATAGAAAGGTCGTGTCTTTGCCCTAAGCACATAAGTGGGAATCCCATTAAATTCCATACTGAAGAATTTGAAATTCCCATTTTCAAACTGCTCCTTTATCAGCCTCATTTCAACCACAACCGTTTGTATTCAGACAGGTGGTTTCTATCTGTAAGGAAAAGGCTGGGCTCTGAAGGCCTGTACCAGGGATGAAGGCTTGTTGCCTCAGAAGTTGTAGCTTACTGAAATTTCTTGTATGCTGTGTTCTCTAATAGCCACGCCCCTGGGTTTGGTGCCAGAAGATCTTAGAAATTCTGGCCCACATTAGCACTGTTGAAAGGTGACAACACCGCTGATCCTTCTGTCCCACACCCATCAGGGATGTGGCTGAGCTTTAGGGAAAGTTCAGGGTCAGAGAAATATGATTTTACCCATGCCATGTGGCCATGGGTAAGTGAGTTGATATTAACCATCCTTTCCGTTTTGCCCTGAGAATGACCACCAGGAAGGCCCAGTGGGTACCAGAAAAGCACTAGAAGTGTTTCCTCCTCCTCTGTCCTCTCTGAGCCTCATCTCGGCTTCTCCCGCAGTTCGCTCTCAGGCTCTGACACTGACCACACGTGTAGAGGGTGTTCCGCTTCTCAGGCCTGTTCAAGGTGACCTTGTGAGCTGTCAGGCGACTGTCGTAGCCACTCTTGTGGATCGAGAACCCCAAGAAAGACTGACTGGGCACAATAGATCACACTTAGACTCCCAGCACTCCAGTAGCTGATGCAGGAGGATCATCGGTTTGAGGCCAGCCATTTAGGGAAGCCCATGTGTGGCAGAGGTGGTGGATAATTAAAAGAGTAGCAAAAGGACAATTACAGATGGATGCTTTGCAACTTTGCTGGTGACTTCCAGGAAAAGGGACAGCAACTTAGCAGAGCTGAAACAGCCACAGTGGCGTGTTTCCTGTTTAAACGTGGCTGCATTACTCCGGATCCGTCTGTACTAACAGATTCATTGTCCTTAGTTGGGGTAAACCCACAAACATCTGCAGACTGCTTTGTACAGAAAGAACAGAGCCCTTTCAAAAATAGAAATGCTGAGACCTACAAGCAAGAGATTAACTTCCAACGAAAGGACTCAATTGATCCCAAATTAAGTTTTACTTTAAAACTTTTCTCTTTGCAGGTCAACTGCTCGGGAGTATGCCCTGAAAATCATCAAGAAAAGCAAATGTCGAGGCAAAGTACGTACCAGGTTTACTCTTGTGAAGTTTTCATTCAAGGGTAGAAATGTCAGCCGGTTTCTTAACCCGGTGCAGCGCAAGAGATGCCTTCTGATGAAACAGAATGTCACAAACTTAGGGGGACCTTCAGTCATATACATAATTCTGGAATAAAAGTAGTCAGGAAGATTTGATTTCATTTTCCCCCTCTGATCGCTTTATTGTCTCCCCTTACATTTGTTGCCTAAGATTCATCCTGTCATTTTCTAGAAAATTATAGTCGTCATGATGTGTCTTTAGTTGGATTATTTTAGGGTCTTCAGAATGCTGTTGCGTCTCCCCAAAATGCATCTCCCTTGTCTTCAGGTGGTTGTCCTGTCTTGAGTTGGTTCCTCATACATTTTGAGTGTATTAAAACGGCTTCTCCTTTGCACAGGAGCACATGATCCAGAACGAGGTGTCTATCTTGAGGAGGGTGAAGCACCCCAACATTGTCCTCTTGATCGAAGAGATGGATGTGCCCACTGAGCTGTACCTTGTTATGGAGTTAGTGAAGGTGAGTGTTCTTCCGTTGTCATGTTTGAGGTTGGCAGTGACCAGAACATGCCAACACTGTGGTAAAAATGTTACACTGTCCTTTGACCAAAGACAGGTCCTTTTATGTGTTGCAATTTTTATAGACATTTTATTACCGAATCGCTACTTTACTTACCTTGTAGATTATATAGTCTCCAGCTCACAGAATAGAATTTCACCATAGCACGGTTCTTTAAACCAACAGCTTCAGCTCACTCCTGTTGCCCTGCTGTGCACTATTATAAATATGATGAATTACCGTAGTTTTATCAGTCAGCTCCCTGTAGGTGGATTTTTGTGGGGAGGGTGAGACCAAGTGAAATTTGGGGATGAGAAATAGAGGTGTTTGATGATGCATCTGAGGACAGATCTCAGTCCGATGGCCAACTGTAAGCCTGCCTGACGAGTACAGCAAAGCCCTTCCCTGAGCTGCACAGCCTTCGTGAATTCTATCTGCAAAACTAAGATGTCTCAACTAGGGGGAAAGCATCCTGTCTGCACCAGAAAGAACCGCCTTGAGGCCTGGAGCCTTGGGCACCAGGACAGCACCTGATTCTTTGCAGACTGGCTCATACAACCACGCATATCCTGCTGTCTAACTAAGGGTAAGGGGTTCAGCTAGACCACAGAGAACATCCCGCATCCGCCAGTGGCTCAGAAACAAACTTCATACCTGTGTGACAGCCAGGTCTTTGAGAGAAACAGGAAGCAGAGAGAGAAAACATTTGTTTAGGTTTGTTCGTGGAAGAACCGTTGCTTGGCCAACAGGGAGAGAGAATTCCAGGGTGGAAGTTGCACATGGGGCACAGATGCCAGCACAGTTTGTGAAGCCTGAAACCTGACAGCCTACAGGGCTATGTCTCATTTGTTTGTTTGTTTATTTATTTATTTATTTTTATTATTTATTTATTTATTTGCTGTGTTTAAAGGGGAAATAAAGTTGCTCACTATGGAGTTACAGACATCTGAATGTGTTTGGGCTCTGGGGTCAGCTGTTTTGTAGTCAATCTCCTATCATGATGTAAATACTTTTAGTAAAGCATACCCAAAGTCTCTGAAAGGACTTCAGATAAGTGCCACTTAATATCAGGCCTAAATCATTGGTTGACTGAGTGTGATAAAGTATAAAGGACCACGGGAAGCAAAGACTCAGAAGAATAGAACCAGGAAACTGTCTTTGGTGTTCCCATCTTGCCCTCCCTCTCTCCCTGTCTTTCTTGTCTTCAGAACAGGCTGTGGGTCCCATTTTCCATTCCTTACAGAGAAAGGCATTATTGAAAAAGCTCACCGCCCACTCCAAGAGAACTAAATTTAGCAAGTCAAAGAGAGCGAGAGAGAGAGTGTGTGTTACGCACGTGTCTTAATAATTTCAAAGGCAGAAGAACATTCTGTTAAGGACAGAGCTTGCAGAATTACCTGTCTTTCTGGGGGAGTTTTAGGACTCTGAATTTGTACTTCAGCTGGCAGTTGGTGTGTGGCAGGTAGCACATGTCATCAGAATCCCCCAACATGAGGCTTCTCAGAGGGAACCCAGTTCCACCTCCTCTTCCCTGGAGAGAGGCTGAGGAGGCAGCCACGTGTCTGCTGTCAGAGTCTCATCACAGCTTTTCCTTAAGCTTAGGATAAAATGTCACTATCTCCCATACGGGGGAGAGAAGTCACCAGAGAGTCTTTCTCAAAGCAGAAGCCGAGAAAGCCCTTAGGAACCCCCACATTCTAGTCCGTTCTTCATCTCCTTTCTGGTTTGTCAGTCCCCTCCGTGGGCAGCCTATTGGTCCATCTGTCAGTACCCGGCTCAGCCAGCTGCTCTCTTCCAGGGCGGAGACCTTTTCGATGCCATCACATCCACTAGCAAATACACAGAGCGAGATGCCAGTGGGATGCTGTACAACCTGGCCAGTGCCATCAAATACCTGCACAGCCTGAACATCGTCCACCGTGACATCAAGCCGGAGAACCTGCTGGTAAGGGGAAAGCTGTCCTCTGGCAGCGTGGCTTCCAAGGCCTCCCTAGTGAATGGACACCCCCCCCCACACACACACACACACGCACACATGTCTTTTTTTCCTCTTCTTTCTTTTTAGCTGTTTGCCTCCTGGGCCCATTTCCACTCTTCTCAGTGTCTCTTCAAGGTGATCTGTAAGAGCTCTTATACCCTCAAGAACACTGATTTCTTAAGAACGGGAACAACATTCTGAAAAACAATCAAAGGATGCCTGGTAGTTAACATAATGGGCTCGGACCAAATAGTGAATAGGAGCATTTCCACAGCTGAACTTGTACTCTTCTAACTTAAGAGAAAAAACTCTTGTGTGTGGAGGGGAGGGAGGGAGCGTGTGTGTCCACATGTGTGCACAGAAGTGGGTGTGGTCGCGTGATGACCTGAGGTCCGTGTGAGTGTGTGTGTGTGTGTGTGTGTATGTGTGTGTGTGTGTGTGTGTGCGTGCATCCAGTGTCCTCCTTTCCAGCCTCCTTATATTTCGTCACAGAGTTGCTCAATGAAGCCAGAGCCCATTCAGCACATTCGGCCAGAAGCACACTTGTGTCCTGTCTTCACCTCCCCGGTTCTGGGACTACAGGCGTATGCCATCAGCCTGGCTTGTCTGTAGGTGTGGGGATCCAGATTCCCCATAAGAAGTAGGTGTTATCACTTCAGTGCAAAAAAAAAAAAATCCACAGGAAAAGATATTTTAGAAAATGGGTTGTGTGGGGATGTTGGTAAACTGTTTGCCTAGCCTTTATGAATCCTTGGGTTCTGATCCCCAGAACAGCATAAAACTGGCTATGGTGGTACAAGCCACTAACACCAGCACTTGGAAGGTAGGCAAATGGCATGGTCAGAAGTTGAAAGCCATCCTTGGCTACATAGGAAGTTCAAGACCAGCCTAGGCTACATCGTGACCTTTATCTAAAACAAAGTAAAGCAGACAACAGCCCAAAGCCCTGATGTCTTTCTTTCCTTTCTGTTTGCTTTGCTGTTTATAATTTCCCTGTCTGAGTTCTTTGTGCCATCAAATGAGTCTCCGTCTCGTGCCCACAGTCCAGGTGGTCCAGATGGAAGCAGAAACGAGGTGGGCGGAGCTACACTGGGAAACACGGAGTAGCACAGCTTCTACTGATCCTTCGGGCTAGAAACTGAAAGTGATTGTTCTCCCAGCCACCCAAAGATGGCCATTTTTTTTCTCTTTTGTTTTCCACTTTTGCAGATATTTAAAGTGCAGATTAGTGTACTAAGAGCCTTAATACCGCTCTGCTAAATCAGAAATTGATGTCTGGTGACCCTGCAGCTGGCTGCCTGAGGTCATCAGAATGATTGTACCAGGTGTGGTAGCACACACTTTTAATATCAGCACTGAGGAGGTAGAGGCAGGCAGATCTCTGGGAGTCGGAGGCCAGCCTGGTCTAGATTGTGAGTTCCAGGACGGGCAAAGCTACATAGTGAGACCCTCAAAAAAATTAAAATAAATCCACAAGTGTATCTTAACTCCCACCTCAAAAATCAAAGCTGATTAGGTTTGCTACTGTAGAATCACTTACGTGGTCAGCTTCATGCTAGGGGCTTTTAAAAATACCTAGTATCTTGTTTGAACCAGAGCCACCATGTGGAGTAAAAATTTTTTTTTTTTTTTTTTTTTTTTTTTTATTTTAATTTATTTATTTATTAAGAATTTCTGCCTCGTCCCCACAACCGCTTCCCGTTTCCCTCCCCCTCCCCCGATCAAGTCCCCCCCCCCCTCATCTGCTCGAAGAGCAATCAGGGTTCCCTGACCTGTGGGAAGCCCAAGGACTGCCCACCTCTATCCAGGTCTCCTAAGGTGAGCATTCAAACTGCCTAGGCTCCCACAAAGCCAGTACGTGCAGTAGGATCAAAAACCCACTGCAATTGTTCTTGAGTTCTCAGTATTCCTCATTGTCCGCTATGTTCAGCTAGTCTGGATTTATCCCATGCTTTTTCAGACCTAGGCCAGCTGGCCTTGGTGAGATCCCAATAGAACATCCCCATTGTCTTAGTGTGTGGGTGCACCCCTCGTGGTCCTGAGTTCCTTGCTCGTGCTCCGTCTCCTTCTGCTCCTGATTTGGACCTTGAGATTTCTGTCCGGTGCTCCCGTGTGGGTCTCTGTCTCTGTCTCCTTTCATCGCCTGATGAAGGTTAATATTCCTGAGGATGCCTATGTGTTTGTCTTTGGATTCACCTTATTTAGCTTCTCTAGGAACATGAATTATAGGCTCAATGTCCTTTATTTATGGCTAGAAACCAAATATGAGTGAGTACATCCCATGTTCCTCTTTTTGGGTCTGGCTTACCTCACTCAGGATAGTGTTTTCTATTTCCATCCATTTGTATGCAAAATTCAAGAAGTCCTTGTTTTTTACTGCTGAGTAATACTCTAATATGTATATATTCCATACTTTCTTCATCCATTCTTCCGTTGAAGGGCATCTAGGTTGTTTCCAGGTTCTGGCTATTACAAACAATGCTGCCATGAACATAGTTGAGCATATACTTTTGTTGTATGATAGGGCCTCTCTTGGGTATATTCCCAAGAGTGGTATTGCTGGATCCAGGGGTAGGTTGATCCCGAATTTCCTGAGAAACCGAAACACTGCTTTCCAGAGTGGTTGCACAAGTTTGCATTCCCACCAGCAATGGGTGAGTGTACCCCTTTCTCCACAACCTCTCCAGCAAAGGCTATCATTGGTGTTTTTGATTTTAGCCATTCTGACAGGTGTAAGGTGGTATCTTAAAGTTGTCTTGATTTGCATTTCCCTGATCGCTAAGGAAGTTGAGCATGACCTTAAGTGTCTTTTGGCCATTTGAAGTTCTTCTGTTGAGAATTCTCTGTTCAGATCAGTGCCCCATTTTATAATTGGGTTGATTAGCCTTTTACGGTCTAGTTTCTTGAGTTCTTTATATATTTTGGAGATCAAACCTTTGTCAGTTGCAGGGTTGGTGAAGATCTTCTCCCAGTCAGTGGGTTGTCTTTTTGTCTTAGTGACAGTGTCCTTTGCTTTACAGAAGCTTCTCAGCCTCAGGAAGTCCCATTTATTCAATGATGCCCTTAGTGTCTGTGCTGCTGGGGTTATACATAGGAAGTGGTCTCCTGTGCCCATGTGCTGTAGAGTACTTCCCACTTTCTCTTCTATCAGGTTCAGTGTGTTCGGACTGATATTGAGGTCTTTAATCCATTTGGATTTGAGTTTTGTGCATGGTGATAGATATGGAGTAAAAATTTTAACTCCTCCAATTCACAGGTAAAGAAACTGGAAGCCGGGCGATGGTGGCGCACACCTTTAATCCCAGCACTAGGGAGGCAGAGGCAGGCGGATCTCTGTGAGTTCGAGACCAGCCTGGTCTACAGAGCTAGTTCCAGGACAGGCTCCAAAGCCACAGAGAAACCCTGTCTCGAAAAACCAAAAAAAAAAAAAAAAAAAAAGAAACTGGGTGCCTAGAATTTAAATGACTTGCCCAAGGTGATAATATAATATGCAAGTAGAAAACTCAAGATCTCAACTGAGTTCTGACCCACAAAGTGTGCTCTGAATCAGGAGGAGACTAAGCAAGTGCCACTGTGGGCCAGGTCCCGTGCCAGGGAACTAGACACATTCCTTCATGGGGTTGACATTCAGGCATAAAAGGCAGGCATTCACGGAATAAATTTGCACCCAATTAGCTCTTTGCAATTATGTCGGTAATCTTGTAGCAGCTGGCTCATGCGAGCGGCCGAGGTCAAATGGCAGAGGTCTGACTTAATTGCACCTCAAATTCCAAACCCCTGCAGCAGCCTAAACATTCTCTCTGCCTAGCTGCCTCCATGAACCGCGGCAATTTTCTGTCATCCACAGTCATTACTCCTGAATCCTGACTCATGTGGCATCGCCTCATGGGAACAGATTTACAAGCGGGGCTTTGTTGAGCAACTTTTTTAGGCCCCAAGCCTCCGTGATTAGAGAGTAAAGGCTTCATTTCCCTCCATGGCACAGGTTTGGGGCACCCATTGTTTATTTGTTTCTCAGCAAACCATTGTCTATTTCCGTAAATACCGTCTAAGGTTGCATAGCAGAGTGCTTTTTTTTTAAAATTGTAGTTTGCAGGATATTTTTAAATTCTGTGATCACTGGAACATACTTTAACGTAAATGAACCAGAAAGGAAATATATATACTCTTCTCTTTTTCTTCCCCTCTCCTGCTTTGATTTGAAATATACAAAGAAACTATTGCAGCTATTCATAATTTTGAAAATATCCACATGAAAAATGAATAGATTTGCTTCCCCACTGCAGTAGTTTCCTACTGTGAGGAGATGGGATTGGTGTGTTTTCTTGGTGATAAATCCATCACAGAAGAAATAGAAAAGCAGAGCACATTTAGTGGAATGAAAATAACATTTCTAATTACGCATGAGATCGCCCTTGGTTCCAAATGCTGTTGAGATCTCCACAGGAATGGGAGCTAGCCATTGTGGGGGCCACACCTTCACAGCCTCAGAACTTACAAAAGCCACAGCTCTTGTGCTGTCCTGTTTTGTGACCTTGCACAAGCTCCTTAATCCCCCCAAGCCTCCTTCATGGGGGTTTTATGTCAGGCCCTTTCCTTTTTATCTCCCTTTTACTTGTGGCAAAAAACACAAACCGCTTCACGGTAACATTGTACACAGGAAGATGCCACCTCTCATCTTCTATTGTCATTGCTTTTAAATTTTTACTGTTCACCCACATATAATTTTTCCTGTCTTGTGGCAAAACATAGATCTAACTGCAGTAAACTTAGTATAAAAGTTTGGATGTGTTTACTGCCTACAGGAAACTTAGCAGATACAGACCAATCCCTCCTTCCACCTTCAGCTCGGCTCTTTCATTAAGAGACTCCAACATCCTTCTGAATTGTTTCATTGTTAACAAGTCCTTTGCTAGTTAAAGGTTTGATGGAAAGATTTGTAGCTAGCACAGTGACTTTTATAAGTG